AATATTATCACAGTAAAAAATACTGTGATTATTGGTACTAATTATTATATGCTATTAAAATATAATTGATTTTTAAGCTGTTATTTAGGTTTTAGCTTCATATCACTTGGTAGGGGGAAGAACTTAACATTTTAAACAACATTTATAAAAACCAATTAACAAATGGGTACTTGCAGATAAAATGAGATCTCATTCCAGTGTATTATCATGGGTAAATCTTAAATACTTTCTCGGTTTCTTCTGACAAAATGAAGTACATTCACAAAAGCTCTGGTGACTGGTACCTGAACTTGGCTGGTGTAGAAGGTATCAAAGCCCAAGCATGTTTTCCAGATACTTTCCAGACCCTTATACTCCTTGGTGGGAGTATTTTCTCTGCTACTGAGGCAGGTCACAGGCCCTCAGGATCCAGCCTTTATTTAATCCCTGTTGCTGAAACCCTTGATGCCCTGGTGGCCAGCCCTCAGAGGGCTAACGTTGTGTTAATACGAGAGCGAGGGCCCTGAACTTCAGAAACCCAAAAGGTCAGCTGAAAAACCTAGGGGAACCCAGGGTGAGACCAAGAAGGACCAGCTATCCCACTAAAGAGCACAGCATGGGTAGAGCCTAGCCCTGACACAAAATCCCGGTGCAGGAACAAAAAGCTCGAAAGATGAAGAAATCAAAGAAAACACCAACCAGTATAAAAAGTTATTGTTTCATCTAGAGATCCCTGAAAAGGCGAGAATAGCTCCCCAGCAATTTGAAGCAGAAGCTCAAAGGGAAAAAAAGAGATTTTCCACAAGGACTATATGATATCTAAAAGAAATGAAAGATGAAATAAAAAATAAGTGCTCTGCTGGAAAGAATTGGAAGGTAAATAAATACTTAGAAGAGACAGTGGTAAACCTTACCCAAGAAATGGAATCCCAGGGACAGCTAGGTGGCACAGTGGATAGAGCACCGGCCCTGGATTCAGGAGGGCCTGAGTTCAAATCCGGCCTCAGACACATAACATTTACTAGCGGTGTGACCCTGGGCAGGTCACTTAACCCCATTGCCTAGCTTAAAAAAAAAAAGAAAAGAAAAAGAAATGGAATCACTGAAAACTAGAATAGACCGGACAGAAATCAGTGACTCCATAAGACAGCAAGAAATATTGAAACGGTTTTTTTTTTTAAAGGAAAAAAAGAAAATGTAAACTGATATCAGAAACAACTAAACTGAAGAACAAGTCAAGGAGAGATAATTTATTTTTTCTTTTTTTTAATCTTTTTATTTTAGACTTAATATTAAAACTTAAATACAAAATAAGAAAAGAAAAAAAATGTCACGTGCTCAGCAGAGCATAAGAGGATTCAAAATATACAGCAATAAGTTTCCATTTCAGAAAAGCCTGTGTAATAAATACTATGTGTTGTGTTCAGAGCTGTCCATCTTTTTTTTGCTTCCTTGTAAGTTTTCTTTTGTTCTCTGCCATGTACTTTTTACTTTGTGCTTTTTTTCCCCTTCCCTGAAAAGTTGAGTAGGATCCTATAGAGAAAAAAAGTTGTATGTGTGTAGGGGGGACCTTTTAATGGAATAGAGAACTTTTAAGCATTTCTGATGAAAAGATCATAGGTGAAAACAAAATCTGAAATATAAACACAGGAATACAGAGAAACCTAGAAAGGTCAATTTATTGTAGCAATTGGAAGGAGCTGTATGTTGTGTTAGTATTCTAATACAGAGAAAAGAAACAAGTATCCCTTCAGAACCTTTATGTCTTTAAAGAATATGGAGAGGGTTAAAAAAAAAAAAACACCAGAGATTCTAATGGTGGATTTTTTTTTTTTTTCAGTTCTGGGGGTTTAAAGAGGGGAAACAAAAATGACGGTAAAAGGAATATAATAGCGTATAAAGGAGGAAGAAGGAGGTGGAACTCCATTTGGAGTGTGTGAGAAGAATAAATAGTATACAAACATGGACATGAAAGTGTTGGGGAAAAGAGCATCAGATGAACCTTACTCTTACCTGAAAGTACAGAGTTGAACATACAGTTCAGAATAGAAATACATCAGACTAAACAGGGAAATAAACAGGGTGGGGGAGAGAAAGAGTTAAGAAAGGATAATACCAAGGAGGGAATAGTCATAAAAAAATAATCTTCCTAATCCTGAAGGAAGGATCGGTGGGATGGGAGTGGGAGGAGAAAAGCAAAGAGCAAGAGTCTAAAGGGGTGCCTTGGATTGCCTCTTAAACGTTGATTAACAGCTAAAGAAATTGTGATATGTGAAAGAGCTGATGAAAGATGATTTCAAAAAAATCTTGGGTAGTATGAACTGACTCAGAGTAAAGTTGGCAGAACCATGAGAATAGTGGGTACAAGCAACGGAAATATACAAGTTGTAAAGGAAAGTACCTTTGAAAGACTTATGAACTATGAGCGGTAACATGACCACATAGGTCTCCAGAGGACCTGTGATGAAGTATGTTACCCACTTTCTGACAAAACGTTGATGGACAGGTGCAGAGACATACATTTGTGAACGTGGCCACCGGGAATATTAATTTTGCTCGACTATGCTTACTGGTTTCAAGGGTTTTTTTTTTTTTTCTCTTAGTTTTTAATGAGAGGAAAGGGGAGGCAGTAAGAGGGTTAAGCAGTTATTGTTGTTGAGTTGTTTCAGTCTTATCTGACTCTTCATGACCCCGTTTGGTGTTTTCTTGGCAGAGATACTGGAGTGGTTTGCCATTTCCTTCTCCAGCTCATTTTACAGATGAGGAATCTGAGGCAAACAGGGTTATGTAAGTGACTTGCCCAGGGTCACACTGCTAGTAAGTGCCTGAGGCCAGATTTGAACTCAGGAAGATTAGATGCTCTATCTGCTGTACCACCTAGCTGCCCCTGGGTTAAGTAATACTGGTACCCAAAAAGAAATCCATTAAAACATTTTTTTAATGCACAGAAGAGAACAGAAGGAAGCACAGACAAGCAAAAAGTTTTTGAAGTTAACATATAAAATGTATTATATCCATCAAGAAAAAAACACCAGTATGAATTGGAATTTCATGATTTTACATAGAATCTTCTTTTTTTGTTTTGCTTGTAGATATGGAAAAACTTTATTTTTATGTTTAAGCCTTTAAAAATATACACATACATACGTGTGTGTGTGTGTGTGTGTGTGTGTCTGTCTGTCTTTGTGTATTAACTGGACTCTAACTGCAGCCATTCTGTTACTTCTTGGTTAAATGACTTGCCCAGGGTCAACACAGCTAGTAAGTGTCAAGTGTCTGAGCCCAGATTTGAACTCAGGTCCTCCTGACTCCAAGGCCGGAGCTCCATCCACTGCACCATCTAGCTGCCCCTAACATTCTCCCACTCTTCACAGCTATTATCACAACTAACATTCTTATATTTTCCCAAACCTCTCCAATTGTTAATGCCTTTCAGATTACCTTCATTCCATCCACTTTGTGTATATATACCCTATTAGACTGTGAAGTTCTTGAGAAGCCAGACCATTTTTGCTTTTTATTTGTTGCCTCAGTGTTTTAGCACAGTACCTGGCACATAGTAGTTGCATAATAAATGCGTGTTTCCTTTCTTCCTTTCATTTGTAATCTTATTATAAAAAAAATCTGTAGTTATTTTAAAATCCAAGTACAAAAGCAACCCCTTGTCAAGTAAGGTGATCTTAAAATTCATCTCCTTGAAATAATCAACACACAAGCTACTTCCTAAAATAATTAATGATAATGAATGCCCAAAAAAACATAGTATTGACTTTGGGGCCATGATTTCAGTTGAATAAGGTTAACTCAAAAACCAGTAGACCTGTGAGCATCTTGTATGTTTTAAATTGTACAATTTCTATAAATAGCAGACTTAGTTATGTTAAATTATGTAAGGCCTAATTTCACAAATATTTCATTTTTTAAAATCTAGAATCAAGTATATTTCCAAAACAATGTCTCACTCTCTCAAATATGCATAAGAAGTAAGGGGTTCATCATTCTTTGTCTCACCTCCATCGTCCCCTCAAAAAATTCCTTTTCTCTTTATGCACCTGCTAGAAAACCTGCAGCAGCTCGGTGGTGCAGTGGTTAGATTGCCAGGCCTGGAGTCAGGAAGACCTGAGTTCAAATGTGACCTCAGACACTTAACAGCTGTGTGACCCTGGGCAAGTCACTTCACCCTGTTTGCCTCAGTTTTCTCATCTGTAAAATGAGCTGGAGAAGGATATAGCAAACCATCCCAGTATCTCTGCCAAGAAGACCCCAAATGGGATCACAAAGAGTTGGACACGACTGAAAATGGCTGGATAACAGAAGAACCTGAACTCAGTAGCTGACTTTGTATTTTGTGTGGGAGGCAAGGAGGAATCGCTACAATATGGAAAAGCATTAGAATATTTAAAACAAATAGGTGCAGTGAGACTGTGTCCTGAAGTGGGTTTGTCTTCAGCCAAATGAAACCTTTTTCAGATCCTGAATAGGTATAGGGCTACTAGTATCCCCAGTAACTTGCCACACTTAATTGCTCCATTCTGTTGCCTCACCATGTCCAGCTCTCCTCTAGTCTTGGCACTTTTGGTGCCCACAAAACCCAGGGAAAAGAGAATGATAGCAGGGGGCTCATTAGAATTATATGTGAAACTGACTGACCTCTCTAGATATCGTAATGCTAAGGAAAATAGGCTGTGGTGAAATTTCATAGATTATCACAAACTGCATTTTTGTTGGCATGTACAGTGACCTTGAAGTCCTGAAGAATCTGATCAATTTATACTTAATCACAAGCTATCTGATATGTATGTGAAGGGTTGGGGGTTGGAGAAGATGAGGGAGTAGGGAATCAGGAAGCACAGACTTCATTTACTTTAGAAGAATTGTGTTCTAATGATAGCCTACAATTCTGTGAGTTGGTTTCTTTTGCTGAATGTATACTGTTATTTAAGTAAAAAAAGCACACGTTCATAAGCACTTTGAGTTCAGTTTAGTCACAGATATCATTTTGCCGTTTCTTCTCTGGGCAGGCTGAAACTCTTTTCCGGCACATCTTGCCAAATGAAGAGTTCTGCCCCCCTCCGCCAAATCCTGAAGATATTGTTTTCGATGGAGATGGTGTGCAACCAGAGGTTCCTGCCCCCAAGCCAGAGGCTGCTGAAGACATCACAGGCCAAGGAGATGCAGAAGAGTGCCTGGAAAAATAGATGACTGCCAGACTGGGAGCCCTGCTTCAAAAATCGTCTTCATACGAGCAGAGTTAGAAAATGAAAAGCAATAGCTGTGCATCTTTTTTTTTTTTTTTTTTTTTTGCAAAATCACATTAAAAGCAACCAGAAGGGTTTCCCCTCCCCACCCCAAAGAAGGGCATTGCTGCACAAAGTCAAAACCACACTTTTCAAACACATTTGTTCTTTCTGTTTTAAAATGTTAGAACTTTTGAATTGATGGGTGGAATTTTCCAGTGTTTTGTCTCCCAGGAGTCACTGTCCGGGTTAAGGGACCTGATGAATTGTTAGCTGGTATGTAGTGTACAGACAGTTTTTCGTCCACTTCTTTAGGCTCAGAGGAGTCATTCTCCAAAGGCTTGGACCCCTGCCCTGGCTTGTTTCCAATGAATCGTGAGTGGGCCAGTCGCATACACATGCATGAGTAAGTATAGCTTAGAAGAGCTAAGATTACATAGGCAAGCCATCTTTGTCCATATTTTGCAACCTGTAGAAGTCCCAAGATATGCTAATTGTTGCTGTTTTCCAGAAACTTACAAAAGCCTGGACTTCTGCAGCTCTCTTCTTATTGCTAGCTAACAGTATATTGTTTAAGCAGAATGGTTATCTTTTGTTTGCAATCTTTTCCTTCAGTAGGAAACCTCAGTAGTAACTAGGATCAGAAGCAGTGACAGCTTTGAAACTAAGATTTAGGTGTGTTCTTAGTACTTAACAAAACAATGGAGATAAATGGTGGGAGCAGCCCTGACCTGACAGCCTGGAGACAAAAGATAAAATCCTTGCTATGCCAGTTTCTGATTTTGGGCAAACACTTTAACCTCGCTGTGCCTCAGTTTCTCCATCTGTAAAATGGTGATAGTATCTTTACTTGTGTACTTGATAAAAATGCTATAATGATAAGATGCATTTGTCTAGAGTATAAAGCTTACTTTTTTCAGGGGAAAAAATGTTCTAAAATTCCTAAGCCCTCTCAGATGAGCAGTTAAACACTCTACACATAAAGCAGCCCCAGGCTTGCTGAGAAAACAACAAAATCATACATAACTGTTCTTATTCCCATGTACCAAGATTTTGAAATGAAAATGCATTGTCTAAATGTATTCATTTCAACACTTTGGTCTCTCTTAATAGTCAGGGGTATTATATAGCTCCTTTAAGATATTACTACAAGGAGGTATGACTTTGAGCTCTTACCAGGGAGACACTATGTAAATCTAACTCATATTCCTTTTCTCACAGGCAGATCCCAGACTAGTGAACAGAACTCTACAATTGTCAGTCCTAAGGTGTGGGTAACAGAAAGAACTTCACATCTAAAGTCCAAAGCCAGTTGTGATGACAGTGCTTGCATGTATAAAAGAGATTGCCAGACCCAGACAGATGACCCACTTTGGAGGCAATAATCAGTATCTCTAGATTCCATTACCAAAAAAAAAAAAAAAAGAATTTGAAGTTCATCATAATGAGATTTGACCTGGTTACTCTTTTTCTCTTCAAAAAAAAAAAAAAAAGCCATGACTGCATAGGAAAGCACGTGTTTCAGTGTACCTTAGCTATAACTTGTCCTCAAATTTCCCTATATTCTAGGAATCCACAAGGAGGGAAACTGGGGCTTCAATCAGTTCTCTCCCTGGGAAGAGGAAGGAGCAGAATATTGGGAATCTGCACAGGTAATTTTGAAGCCAGGAAGTGTAGAAGTCTTAACCCCTTCCTCCCCACCATGCCCCTCTCACCTCTACTCGTACCCTTGCACTTTCAAGGCTATTTACTATACCAGTGAATAGTCTTTCCTATCTGAATGCAAAATCTTCCCTATTCTGCTGTTCTGATTTTGACATATCACACATTTCAGGTGTAGTAGAATCCCCTCATGACATGGCTTGTTCTGTGGTTTTACTTCTACCATGAGTCAAATTGTAGCCCCTGAAAATCAACTACTGCATGCAGTGAAAACCTAGTTTATCTCTCTATATATAACCCTGTTAGTCTTAGAGCTCCAGGTGTTAGTTTTGTCCCTGGACACTAGCAATATAAAAGGGTTCTACTGTATGTGAATATTGGGTCTGAATACAATTGCAGTAGGCTGCACTAATTACCATCTTTTGTTTTATTTTATTCATCCTACATTAGCTTCTTATCTGTAGTACATAAATTTATGCAAACCATAAGCAAATCAGGGTAACCCCAGATAACAGGGAAAAAAAATCAGAGTACTGTACTTTTGTTTTGCTCAGTAGAACATTGTAGGGTGTACTGTAGTAAGGCTTAACCATGTCACACCCTGTTTTAGCCTTTAGCCTATATATATGGACATAGCCTTCCCAGTTACTCTAGGTGCTTGGTGAGGATTATGTATGCAAGGGGGCTCCCTGAGTCTGCTATGGATAATCTCCCACCTGTTGTTGAAGTATGAAAAAATTTTGAATCTGGGCCATGTTGACATCAAACCGTGTTAGAGACCTTGATTTACCTCATTGCATAACTGCCTTGTTGCATCAGAATGTAATAGGAATTATTCTTTTGGGGCTACGTATGTTAAGTACTGCTAATAAATATTGGTTTTAAGGAGAATTCTACGTTTAAAAGGTTTGTTACAGAATCTACATCTTCACCTGTAGTTTACTATATGCAGTCTGTATCAATTTTTATAAAAAGGAAATTTATACATGATTAAAAACTTGAATGGTTAATTAAAAATTTTGAAACACCATTTTTCAAAGACTCGATTTACTTCACATGCTTAGGATAACATGTTTGGCGAAAAGTGATAATGTTATTCAGTTCTACAATTAACGTGTGAACCAGCCTTGTTGCTGCTTTTTTGTATATTCTTCCTGTCCCAAGAAGTGTATTTATACCCCAAAGGTCAAGTTATTTTTTTATCATTATTACTAATAAATAGCTAATTCAAGTTTAGAATTTCTTTTCACTCTCATAGATTTATTCTTGTCATATCCATAACTTTTGAGATTGACACCATTTATTTTTTCCAATTTTTATTTAAAGTTTTGAGTTCCAAATTCCATCCCTCCCTCACTCCCTCCCCACCCCCCTCCCTGAAACAGTAAGCAATCAGATATGGTTATACATGTGTAATTTTGTAAAACATTTCCACATTAGTCATTTTGTACAAGAAGACTTGACTAAAAGAAAAAAAGAAAGAAAGAAAATGAAAAGTAGCATGCTTCAGTCTGTATCCAATCAATATCAGTTCTTTCTCTGGAGGTAGATAGTATGCTTCATCATTAGTCCTTTGGGATTGTCTTGGATCATTGTATTGCTGAGAAGAGCTGAGTCATTCACAGTTCTTCATTGAACAGTATTGCTGTTACTGTGTACAACATTCTCCTGGTTCTGTTCACTTCACTATGTATCAGTTCATTTAAGTCTTTCAGGTTTTTCTGAAATCATCCTGCTCATCATTTCTTATAGCACAATAATATTCCATTACAATCACATACCACAGCTTGTTTAGCCATTCCCCAATTGAATGGGCATCCCCTCAATTTCCAATTCTTAGCCACCACAAAAAGAGCTGCTATAAATATTTTTGTACAAAAAGGTCCTTTTCCCTTTTTTTGGATGTCTTTCGGATGTAGACTTAGTCGTGATATTGCTTGATCAAAGGATATGCACAGTTTTGTTGCCCTTTGGGTATAGTTCCAAATTGCTCTCCAGAATGGTTAAGTCAGTTTATAACTCCGCCAATGATGCATTAGTGTCCCCATTTTCCCATATCTTTTCCAAAATTGATCATTTTCCTTTTCTGTCATATTAGCCAATCTGATAGGTGTGATACGGTACCTCAGAGTTGTTTTAATTTGCGTTTCTCTGATCAATAGTGATTTCGAGCATTTTTTCATATGACTATAGATAGCTTTGATTTCTTTGTCTGAAAACTGCTTGTTCATGGGGGCAGCTAGGTGGTACAGTAGATAGAGCACCAGTCCAGGATTCAGGAGAACCTGAGTTCAAATCCGGCCTCAGACACATAATACTTACTAGCTGTGTGACCCTGGGCAAGTCACTTAACCCCATTGCCTGGCCCCCCCGCCCCCGCCCAAAAAAAAACTACCTGTTCATATCCTTTGACCGTTTATCAATTAGAGAATGACTTGTATTTTTAGAAATTTGACTCAGTTTTCTATTTGAGAAATGAGGCCTTTATTAGAGATACTTGTTGGGAATTATTTTCCCCCAGTTTTCTGCTTTCCTTATAAGTTTGGTTGCATTGGTTTTGTTTGGATTGACACTATAAAGGCCCATAGTAAGGCTTCTTAACTTTTTGGGGGGTCCTGGACTCCTTTTGGTAGTCTGATGAAACATATGGTCCAGTTCTTATAATGGTGTTTTTAAATGAATAAAATAAAATAGGATTATGAAGTAAGCATATTACATTAAAATATAGTTATCAAAATATATCTTTTTAAAAAGTTCACAGACCTTAAGTTAAGAACCACTGGTTTAGCGAGATGTTTGGAAAAGGAAAAAAAAAGCTACAAACCAGTTTCAGTTGCTGAATAGTAGATATCTTATCTTTGGGAAGTAGAATTCTCCAGTCAGTATTGTTGTTCTTTGTCTTTATTTTCATCTGTTGTTCCTGTGTTTATATCGGGAAGTTATCAATTAGGGAACTCATTTGCACACTGGAGCAAACAGCAGCAAGTTTTCATAGGAAATAAGGCAAAATAATCAGCTCTTGTTGCCTTTCAGTATTGGGGACCCCGTTTCTTTTTATGTTCGCCTTTTTGTATTACTATATAATCTGCACCTGAAAATGAAATATGGGCTTGAAAAGACTCTTTTTTCCCCTCCTTTTTATCTCATTAAAGGAACTCCTTGTTTAACTTTATATCTGGTTACATTTCCGGGCAGCCGTCTGCTTTTATGTCATGTTTTGGGGGGGGGGGGATATAGCCAATCTGAGTGCATCCTCATCGCTTCAGAAGCAGATGTCAGGATCAAGGCAAAACATGTGTGTCTTCATTCTGTTTGACGTTTGCTTCATAGAAGCGATGGAACCCCTGAGTCCTGAGCTGTAGCTTTCCTGTCCATGGATGCCTCAGAACTCTGCTTGGCAGCTCATTCTCTTGGTGGAGGTGAATCAGAAGCGTATTAGGTTGTGGTTGTTGAGCACCAAGGGGCTTGGCTGCAGTAGACAAAAGTAACTCTTGGCATTCTTCTTTTGTGCCTAAATCATTCACTGAACTGGGATTTATTCTCAAATTCAACAGCTCAGGCAAAGGGCAAAATGAAGTTTTCCATGGATTCCAAATAGTTTTTAAAGCTTGTTAGACAGGACCCATTCAGAAGATAGCAGGACTCTGTAAAAATCAGCCATTTATCTCTAAGATTATTAATAAATCAAGTTTAAGAAAGATAAGGTTAATTGAATTTTTAAACAAGTAGCTGTATTATCCTTCA